TTTTCATCTCCTTTAAAGCCGTGCTGCTCTCTTAGCAGTAATAAATGAGAAGTATCACCAAATTTCAGAGGGATTGTATGGCCTTCCATTATTTGAAGTGCTCCTCAGTGAAAAGCAGCGTAAAAGGCGCAGCGGTAACCCTATTCATCGCCTTCGGGGAAGGAGAGCCGTGATGAAGTTGTTGGTCACTCTGGACGTTTTCCAGGACATGCCTGAAAAACAGGGAAAGCATTTCTCAGGCGAGGTGAGATTTCCCTAAATGAAGCCGTTATGCAGCGCTGAGGTACCTTTGGATTTGGGGTTTGGGAAGGCGGATCCAGATGAGGCCGCCTTACCTTGCGCCTCAAACTTCTTGGAAGGACTGGTTTCCCCTCAGGCCTCTGACTTTCTTGTCAGAGTGTAGACTTGAATGAAGCTGCGCTAATGAGATTTTAGAGACCCAGCTGCCCCTGCCAAAGCAGCCCGATGCTTCTGCACCAGAAGTTGACATATGAACAGCCCTTTGAACCGCTGAAAGACAACTCTGTCAGATCAGTTACTCTGGCAACAGCGTTTCTAATGGTGATTAGCTCTGAAATTGCACACAATGAGGAGTTGGTTCATTAGGGAGGCCTTGTTCTTGGTTTCAGGGAGAGGGTTGACCTGATATCCCCACCTCGAGTGCGTTCAGACTTGGGGAAAGGCAGCCCATTTCCTCCGAGCTGCTGAGAGGGGAACAGGAAAGCTTTGTTTGTCATCTGTGGAAATCAGCACAGATTTTCACTGCCAACAGTTAACTGAATGGGTCTGTGAAGGAGCCGTGGTGGTTTGCATACAGATCTGACGAGCCATGGGAAGCTCTGCAAGGGCAAGCAAGCGCTGCGAGGCCACTTACAGACTGCTAGACCTCCAAGCCTTCCTGCTTTGCTTTGCTTTGCTTTACTTTGTTTTACTTTGCTTCCAATCCAGAGGGAATCAAGTTAGTGGGACCGCATGCAAACAGCAGTTTGCTTAACAAAAAGTCATATTATGATGAAAGTGGCAGAGGGTGGGAGATTGGTTTTGTTGTAGTGAGCTGGGGTCAGGCGGGGAAGAAGAGACGTTCAAGTGAAGAGCTTCCTATCCCAACGTGCACATTTTATTCGTCCTCCAGAAGAGGAATTTCACACGCTTTTGATTAATGAGACCTTAAAGGAAAACGCATTTTCTCGCTATTGTAGTTTGTGAAATTAAATTTGCACGTACAGCAAAGAGACATCAGTCTCCCCCAAAGACCAAATATTTGCTAAACGTAAATATGCCTGGTTTATAACTTTGAATATTCTTGGCATATTTCCATTTATTTTCAGAAGAGTTCCTAACTTTGGAAATAAGTCGTATTTGCTTTTTAACTTTATGTAGATGGCTTATAGTAAAAATCTCTGTTAGTTTGAATGTGAAAGCAGAGAAAGCAGTTTGTGTTTTTTTCCAGAATAGCTAAAGTATCTGTCTCTTGCTTGATTATTTCTGATACTTGCCACGCAGAGTAAGTTGGCATTCATCTGTTCTAGAAGCATACCTTAGCAAATATATTTATACTAAATTCAGAAGCACGGAATAATCGTTCAGATGAGATGACACCCAGTATCTACAGGCCTAAAGTATTTCTGCTTTCCTTTCTTTGTTCACTTTATAGCACAGCACTTACTTTGCTTGCATAGCTTTCTCTGGACTGACGTTTCAATTTCGAACACGCATTAATCTAAAGCTTTTGACTCTAAGTAGTCTTAAATTGGCCAATGAAATACACTGGCTAGCTTTTATTACCAGAAATACAGAAGGATTTGCATGTACCACAGCTTACAAGAGGCATACCTGAACTTACTGATCTGTTTGTCACAGAGGTCCCACACAGCCGCTCGGTTGTCTGAACTGTTCTGTTGTTGCTGCTGCAGTTGGGAAAACAGTATTCATGCTGATCTAGGAAGACTGTGACAGAGATGCTCGTAACTCCAGTGTGAACCTGGCTGTGCTGTTTAAGGATTTTTCCTAATGCAGAGTGGTTAACGAGTTGTTGCTTTGAGACGTGACAGAGGTGTAATAACAGAAACAGGCTTGGGGGCTGAACGAGAAGTATAGCTGGTCTCTGGTGTTCTTACAATTACGGTGTATTTTTCTTTTGCTACACAACCATTTAACTGTGTATTTTTCCTCCCTAACTACTGCGTCTGAAGATCTCAGCAGCAGGAGTTAGCAGGTCCGTGGGGTTTTTACTGCCAGCCATTTTAAGTTTTGTGTATTTCGGGGCTTTTTTCTCTGGAATAGAAGGTGTAGAAAATGTGATTTTGCAGCAGCACTGCTGAGGAGAGATATGCTGAACCCCTTTTATTGACTTCTGATAGGCAAGATTTAGGTTTCATCTCTTCTCTCAAGGTAGCTTTAGAAAGAGCACAGTGGGTCTTTTGACAGTCCGGCGATTGCCCCGCAGATGATCAGTCACATCTTTCATATGTCGCAAACTTTGAAGGGTCACCGTACTCCTTTAGGCACTTCAGAAGCTCAAATCCCCTTAATATCCAAGGGCAAGTAGCCCCGAGCACTTGAATATTGAATGCAGTCTAATTATGGAGTGAGAGCTCCATGACTGCAATGAAAGAAGCAAAAACTGCTTGGTGTCTGAAAGGAGAGCAGGTCGCCTAATGAAGGAGGGGGAGAGGCAGGAAGGATCATGCTCTGGTGGGGCTCGTTGCCGAAATGGAGGAGGAATTGGGAAGGTTTGGCAGCTCAGATGGGGAGTTCCATTAGGGGGTATGTCATCTTTCTGACTGAGGGAAAGGCTGTGAAATTTGAGGATAGGAATGGTCTCTTTTCAAGTTTGAAACCCAATTTTAAGAAGGTAACGTTAGATCTGCTGTGATTTTTTACCATTTTTGCAGTTGGCAGGATCATTTACCCTTGGTGCTGCTCTGTTATCTTTGGAGTAGGATTTCCAGCTACCTTGTGGCTCACCCTTCACGTTCCTAGCTATGTACGTATTTATATGGATTTATATGGGCATTTTGCTTTATTACAAATCTTGGCTTGGCTGTTGAGCTTGTCCTTTGTGGTTGTATCCACAACGCATGCAGTTTGAGCACTGCGGCCGAACATCCCGTCCTCCTCCTGTTCTCACCTCCTCCAAGAAGCAGGAACACCCCTTGGCAGTCAAAGTCTGTGCAGATGGCACTGAAGTGGGCTAATGAAACCATGCCTGCTTTGGTAGTGCTTCAGCTAGTATTCAGGTAATCCATTTGAGTAGCTAAGTTCAGACTGCCTTGGGAATGCTTTTTTTTTGGTGAATTCCTGGAGAGATGTTTGGGCAGGACTGCATGATGTTAGTTAACATAATGTAGGCTACAAACGCCTACGTTCAGACTCGAGGAAAGAAATAAGTGTTTTCCTCAACCAATTACCCCTCCTCCCCCCCTCATGGAGAGTGGAAGATTTTGCTGAGAAGGTAGCGTGGTTTTAATTCAGTTTTGGTCTTAATTTGGGTCTTTACAACGTGATGAAGACAAATCTGTTCACGTATGTTAAAGTCTGACCTTAGGTTTGCTCTCTACGTTCACTAATGTGGCTTAAAATATTTTAATATATGGCTTTCTAGAGTCCAGATCAATAAACCAATGGTTCTGAAATGACGGAGTGCTACGATATTCCTCTGTAATTTAAACATGATTAGCTGATGAAGGTTATGATCAATATGGCAGGGGAAAATAAATTAATTGATATCATCCTTTCAGGATGATAAGGGGCCTATTGGAGGTGGAATGTAAGTAATGAAGCTGCTGCTTCTTATATACAAGCCATTTTTTATACAATATATTCTCACTAAATCATGGTCGTGCCATCACTCATTTACATGAAGAACATAAGCCATGGACCAGTTTGTTATTAAAAATGCATTTGAGGAGAAACTGTATGCTTACTCTGCTAAACAGTACCTGCCTGTTTTGCACTGCATCGAGGCATTTACATCATTATCTTTTGATGTTCTCTGAATAATACAGATTGAGTGCTGTTAGTTTAATCACAGCAAGTTTCTGTGCAACTTCTTAAGTAGATGCCAGTCATCATTGCAGTTCTGACTGGTTTGGCAGAGACAAAGCAAGTGGCTGTGGCCTCCGTTGCAGAGTGTCAGGGCAGTTCCTTGATTTTTGGAGTAAGAAATAAGTATTGATGTGATCCAGCATGAGTTTGTATGCTCAGTGGGGTTTGAAAGCTGGGGTCTGCATTAATCTGTGTATTTGGTTTCAAGTTAAGCTGTGCCTAGTATAAATTGAAATTTCAGTAGACTCCAGCATACTTGAAATTCTGTAGTATCTGAAATGGTGTGACTTTTTAAATTGGAAAAGTTGCAGGAGATGCGTGGATGCTGCTGTGTTTCAGATGGGCTCTGTTTCCTTTTATATATATACACATAAAATATTTATGTATATATGTATTTTTAACCAGTCTGTTAACTTGTAGGCGGAGATATTAATGACAATAATTACATGAACTAGAAATCACAGTATAGCTGCTTTTTGCAAATGGAGAGGCTGCTCTGAAAGTAGTGCCTCCTATTTTATTACCTTGGCCCATGATGTCAGAGGCAGATGTTGGTGATATGACTGCAGAGGTTGAACTTCCCTGCCAATATTCTGTTACTTTTTGTTGCTGTGCATCTGGCTATTTGGGCTGAATTCCTGGGAGTATTTTTTCTAACTTGCACACTAGAATTATCCCCTTCTGTTTCAGTCTTACTGGTTTAGGTGTACTTATCTGGTGGGCTGGGACAATTTCATCCACGTGGAGAACAGAGCTCTTGGCTCCTGTGAAGCATCTGTCATCTTCATTGGATACACTATGCTCAGTTTTTGAAGCAGCCTTCAACAGTGGAAAAAATTATGCTGTGCCCTGTTTTGTATTTTGTATATTCTGGATATTTTTGACTTGCCATATTTTTCAGTGTTGCCTGTAGCTTATCTGCCTGTATGTTCTGTTTTTGTTTTGTTTTTTAGTTGCTCAGAAGATCGTTGCGACGAGGAAGAAACAGCAGCTCTCAATCGGACCCTGCAAATCCTTACCAAACTCTCCAAGTCACTCATCTGTGTGTTCTGCCCAGGTTTCTGCTGTACATATCAGCCAGGTACAGCCTAAAATCAGTGCTTGCCTTAAAAATGAGCTAATAGGTTGCTTTTCATCTCGTGTGTGTAATGTCACTGCTCATTTTCCTGCTTGATGTAGGTAGTTGGCACTTCTTGAGAGGCATCAGTGATCTGTAGTTTAAAGCAGTGTTTTTAATTGCCTTTGCTTTGTTTCACGTAACTGTGGTGGTGACTGACTTTGGCTTTCAACCACTTTTCATGGTACTGATTATGCCCAGCAGCCTGCTGCTCTGAGCAGACCAGTTGTCACAGTAGCAGGATTTGCTGTATGGCTTTTTAAAATCACCTCACAGTGTTTGTGGTTAATGGTCTCATTCAGTAGTATGAGCAGTAGTACCTGGTGTATCTGAGTGCTTGGCACTAGAATTTTACTATGGTTACCACTGCGTGCAGTTGTAATTGGCTGTCTCTGCTGATGCTCAATTGAAATGATTCCACCTAATGGCCTGGCAGTGTATATCACTAATGAGATGATAGATAGAGGAAAGCGAAACAGAAAGCTGCCTTTATTTATGGCAGGAAAACACGCTGGCCTTGAAGCCAAAGTGCTGTGTTTTTGGGAACATTTGGCTAATACTAAAATTTTTCAACGTGCACAATTTTTACCCACGTGCATTAATACCAACTTCTGTATTTCTGCTGTGACATCTTCCCTCATTGTCTTTTTCTACTGACAACTGATAATCTGTGTATATTCACAGGGTGGATAAATACAAGCTCCAGTGTTGACATACAAGCCTTCTGCAGACAGAAGAACTGTTTCCCACTGTGCTCTTTCACTCTTGATAGTTAGATGTATAGGCCATCTTAGTGGCCCCTCTGGTATATGACCAGAACTGTGCCCTACTGATTTTCACTGGAGCAGTTGGAAATGTCTGATACCCACCATTTCTCCTGGCAGATTTTTAAGTCTTAAATGCCAATAATGTCTTCTGGTGTTACGTAGCAGTCCCAAGCAACCCATTTCACTTTTTGTTCTATCAACCCTTCTGCTTTTTAGCAAAACCAGCATAGTAAGAATTATGCTCTCTTTGTGAGAGAGAATTTTTTTCTCTCACTTGCCATGTCAGTGTCTTTTAGAAGCTCTCTTTTAAAATTTGGGCCACTGGATGAAGGTTCTGGTTCTCCTGGTCTCCTTTTGTACCCCAATGGAAGCCTCCACCATCAAGTAACCTCTGCAGGTGTGGATGCCAGTTTAGATAAAGAGTTCTTTGCATTGCCATGTTCAACCCAAGTACCAGCCTCACATTGTGACTCTTCTGAAGAACTGTTCATGGTGAAATATGCTCCTCATATGGAAGAACTTCTTCAGTTTCTTGATGTATATGACATTCAGCCACTTTCTGACCGGCTCATTTCCCTTAGCACTTTGAAGTAGCCCACTGTGTAAAATGCTTTTCTCCTGATCCAGTTCCTCCAGACAGTTCTATAAGCTGATACTTTTAGACCAAGATGAATTATGCTGTATAGAACTTCAGTACTGAGACCCATCCTGTTTGGTGGTTGAAGAGGAAAGTTGCTGTGATGGAAGTGTGTTACAACGTGTTTGAATGGCACAATTTCTGTTGTGATCTTATTCTTGGATCTTATCAGGACTTCTTTTCCTCTGCTGGTTGTCATATAGTTTTTAAAGACATCCTACAGAGGATAGGTGATGATACTTTTTACAACCCAATTTTAGCCAAATACATCCCTGTTCTGCATTTTCTTAAAACAGTTGTGATTAATCTTCTTGTTGATAAAGCCTGTTTGGTTAAGAACATGAAATATCTCTGTTCTTAACAGTTTCCCACTCAAGGACAGTTTGGACAGTGGCAGCAAATACCAAATTCTAGACAAGTATTTCACCTACTTCTTGCCAGGAATAAGAACTGTTTGGGAAAGTCAAGGTAGCTTATGTGATAAGGATCCCTGAAATCTATTCCTATGATCCTGAAATAATGTTCTTTACCACATTTGTTGGCTGACATAATTAACAGAAGTAATAGCAGCTCTGCCCAAAGATGCCTGTCTTCTGAGACTATGTTTGGATCATAAACCTGCTTCACATCTTACTGTCTTGATGCGGCACTTATTGGCAGTAGGACCTTGGTTAGAGTGAGTCCTTATCCTTGACTTGAAAGAGTATTACGGATGCAGTTCCAAGTTCCAGGTGGTTTTGAGGAGAATTTACCATCTCTGATCCTCACAAGAGGATTGACTCGTGTTCTTTAGAGCATCTCTTTGGACGTGATGATGCTTCACTGAGGTTTCCCAGAAATGCTGTCTTTAGAAGGCACTGTCACCTGCATTCTCCACAGGAGTTAAGATCTTCACAAGTAGTGGTTACAGATCACTGCAGATAAGATGATTTTCCTTCTATGGTTAGATTACTCTGGCAATCCAACTTTGTCAAACTCTATGATGATTCTGTGTTCAAGAGCTTGACCTTCAGAGGAGAAAGAGTACAGTATCACCATACCCAGGCTAGCCCTTGGGGTAAATTCTAAAGCTTAATTCATGCAAGGACTTCTACACAGAGTAGTTTCTGTTTTCAAAGTGTGGAAAGCTTGTGTATTTGGATGTGTGTCTACACTTACGTTAGTAGTCCTAGTTGGTGAGCATCTAGGTCATGTTTCTGGCCAGAAAATACTCTTAGGTATGCCTATGCTTGAGTGCATATGTATTTCCAGACTGCTGTCTCAGGGAATGTGAGATGCTTCCTATCCCAGTGACAGAACTCTGCTTCTATTTGCAGTAGGTACTGCTTTTGTTTGTCTTCAGCTTTTTTTTATATTGTGAAGGTGAGGGTTTTACCTGCAAGCCTTTGATAGCCAGGGTCAGTAACCTTTGGTGCAAGCAATTCACATCCATTCATGGGCTTTCAGGGCAGTACAGAATTCATGCATAGTATTTTTTTTCTCAAATTCAAGGATATCATTCACGATTTTTCACGTTCTGGTCTTTCTGAACACTTCAAGAACTAGATTGAGTTGTAAGGCAAGGAAGAGCTGCTGTTTGTTGAAGACATTTAGTCTTCGATGTATTCTACCAAGGATCAAGGTATATCAGAAACTGTCATGTGAAGTGACCCCATACCTGATAACCCATCGAGTGGTTACCCTAAGATGTGTCTGTACCTTTTGCATAGTTTGTTGATAAAACATGTGAAAATCACATGACATTTGATACCTTTCTGTATTTTGTGGACTTTGCCTGTTTAAGCTCTCTGGGAGAGAACTGAAATGACAACGTCCTTGCCATGTGTGCCAGCACTTTTCCACACATGCCTGTAGTACGTGACAGAGAGGGGGCCTTAAATGCCACACTCTCCATGCTCTGAATTTAAGAATCTTGCCTGAGAATTGAGTGCTGTCTTGTAGGCCCCCCCCAGCATCATTATTCATGCAGAGTGTTCATGCACACTGCTTACTGGTCAGCAGTGTGGCATTCCCAGGAGATCAGCACTGCATCTCTGAAAGGTATGGGGTATATATACATACATACTGCTAAACTGCAGCTCAGGCACAGCTAGCATTTGAGCTTGCTACCTGCTGCAATCTCATAAAGATGCATTACTTATGGCTTACATCAGGCTTCCAAAAAGTTTTTTACAGCAACGGTCTAAATACATAAATTAAACTATTGCAAGAAAAGTGCAGTCTGCTTAATCGTCCATTATTTTACTGTTTGTGAGACCTGATTGTGGTAAGTAGTAACTAACAGGGCACCATTATCTTATTTACAGTGGGGATCACTTGGGAGAAATGTTGTGTTATGATTTGCACAATCAAATAGAGAAGTGCAAATTGCATTTAGTGCCACTGCAGCATACATCAGAATGCTTTGTCTGTGCAAGATTAATTTTAAGTAATCTCTAATGTTCATTTAAAAATAAATGTAAGTACATGTATTCACCTTTATTCACATGCACAGAGCACATGTGCAGGGAAGTGTGTTCTGCAGGACTGGGATGTCACATTTCAGTTCATCTGTTGGTGCACTTTTTCTTCCTTTTTTTGTCCTCATGAGACCGTATTCATATTCCTATTAGTTTTTGTAAAGTCTACTTGTCTCTTTTCCTTTCTGAGGTCAGTTTAAATTTCAGGCTCTGACTTGATCTTCTTTTAGTTCATGAAACAGTGCAGTATTGAAGCCTGTTGTCACGTGCTGTTAATTGAAAGTCATTGGTAGTTTCACTGGTAACTTTTCTTGGATGTGCCAGCCTACTTTAGCCAAGCTGTCTTAAGTTCTCTTGGTACTCAGTCTTGAGCTCTATCAGTCTGATAGTTCTGACAGGAGAAATCTAATCTTTCCTCTGCCTTTTCATTACAAGAAAAGGCAAACGCTCCTTGGATTAACAAGTCCTAATATGTCCCAAAGGTTGAACTGTACTGATTTCCTATATTTGGTCTTAGTGCAGAAGGTGAGACGTACTGAAATCTCAGCACGTGTTATCTCTTTGTAGGTTTGAAATCTAGTGTGAAATTTGTATTCCGTGGCAACACAATCAAAGCTTTCTGGCTTTTGCTAAGGCAAGGAATAAACAGTTTCATCTTCAATCCATCTGTGGATGTGTCCCTGCGTTTGACCAAAATCCCTTGAATGAATTGGACTCCTACCTATAATGTTGTCAGAGATAATGGGGCTTTCAAGAGCAACACTGTACACAAGTGTGCGGAGAAGAAATGTCCTGACTAGGGATTTTCCTGTATTTCTGCAGAAATGCACTTTTCCTTCCTCTTCCCCAAGAACAGAAGGTGCAGAAACCAAATGTGTTCTGTCATAGAGCGTGGAATCTCTGCTTTTGATCAAGGTTTGCTTTATTCCAACTGCTTCTAGGCTCCCTGAAGCTCTGGCAATCTCATCTGTTTTAGATGTAGAACCTGCTGCCTTCATGTTCTCCTCAAGCAGTTGAGATGATTTTTCTTGGTGGGTGTCCCGTTATATCTGGAGAGCAGAAAAACATTGATTGCATTTGGGTAATTTGATAAGATGAAAA